TCTAGACAATAGTTCACTCTCGCGTTTACGATGATCGCTGATTTTTTCTTTTCATAAGAGATTACAAAAGTTTTAAATTTTGTTTGGCCTACCACTTAGTATTTTCTTTTTTTCAACAGGTTCAACAGAGAATTGGTTACTGTCCTCAGGTATGTAATTTATTCAATTTTTAAAATTATCTTACGAATTTTCATCGACGCTTATATGGCACTAGTCTCCTTCGCAGCCCTTTGTTGTGTCGTCACGCAACGCTTCTCTCCACAGGGGTGTTGTGTGACGACTCAAAAAAAGGCTGCGAGAGGACTAATATAGCATTTGCTACAGAAAGAAATGGACAATACATTGCAGTTTGTTGCATTTTCATTTTGCTTTCTCTGCCAGGAACTAAATATAATCTTGCTGAGCACTCTATGCACGGAAAATCTTTAAAACATGTGGAGAAGCATTTCAAGCCTGAATGAATTGAATGAAGACATTTCTAATAAAAATCGTATCCATGCATAAGCTTAACTTTTCTCGTTTGTGTTTCTTTTTTAGTTCGACGCTCTAATTGAACGTCTGACGGGACGGGAGATGCTAACCATGTATGCTCGGTTGCGTGGAGTTCCAGACGAGAAGATCAAAGGCATTGTTTCAGACATTGTTCATCTTCTGCGTCTGGAGAAGTGGGCGGACTCTCTGTGCGGAAACTATAGGTACACCTTTGGTCTCAGTTTTTTTCTTTTGTGTTAGGCCTCAATTACGTGGAGAACAGTTTTTCCGGGAGGGAGCCCTCCTAGCCGAGTCAACTTCAAGTCATTTTACACAGATGATTCGCAACGGCGATTTTTAGCGCAACACAACGTTGCAACATTGTTGCGACATTGTTTGGAATGGTTACAACATTGCCCCAACATTGCAACGCTGTGTTGCGCTGAAAATCGTCGTTGCGAATCGTCGCGTGTAACATGACCTTTAAGCGAGCGTCAAGAAAAAAGGTGACCCCTTTGCTCAAGGCAACAATGCTCGCGCATACTCTGATTGTCTCGCCTTGACCGCGTTGATGCGGCTGGGCGACCTTAAGTGTTTATATCGAGAAATGTTGGCCCGGCTAGGAGGGGGACCCAACCATCGAGACAGGATTACCCGCCAAGCTGGCTCACCCTTCTAGCCTAGCCATCCCTTTTGTTTCTCGTGTGAACTGTTCGCCAGGCTTTGTAAGGAAATGTAGGAAAAGTTGTGTTGCCCAGGGTAGCTCGAGTAGGCGAGTGACTCTTCAACCCGTGACACGCTTTTCTCCGTATAATCGAGGCTTCTTTTTTTCCTTTTGTTGTTAAAGGCTTTTCAGAGTGAGGTGCACTTATCATTTGTTTTTGTCTTGTTTTTTCAGCGGTGGCAACAGACGAAAGCTGAGTACAGCAATTGCTTTGGTTGGAAATCCACCAATTATATTCCTGGTAAGCACCTTTGCACGGTAAATTAAACTGTACATCTTAATGTGGTTCTTTTTTTTACTGTTCTGCCTTTGGAGGACAAAAGTGGTCCCTCGAGCCGGATTAGAATCCATGAGCTGGCAGCTACGGATAGTCAAAGCTTGAGTCCTTTAGGTCAGTCTAAAGAAATGGAAAAAATAAAAAACCTCTGCCCGTTTATCTCAGTGGGATAAGCGCCGATATACCAAGCGGGAGGTCGCAAGTTCAAACCCCAGCCGGACCATCAACCAGGATCTTACAAAAAAAGACTAGGGAGATCATGCTGGCCTTAATCTAAGACTTTATCCCAGGTCAGATGATCGCTTCATTGGGTGGTGACGTCAATTGCAGGTTACAGAACCCACAGTGCTGTTAAAAAAAGTAGGAGACCAGAGCTAGACCCCTGTGGTGTGGTCTGTCTGTTACGGGGGGAGGGGACTGTCACGGGCCCGCAGTAATTTGCTTCACGCTGTTGTGGTTACCCTGCCAAGAATTGTCGAATCTAGTAAAAAGAGAGAAGAATTTTGAGCAGGAGTCACGGAACAGAGTTTCAAGGCTTCCTGCCTGGACTCTGCTAATACCTGTCTGGATTTTCAAAAAAAAGGAAATTACCATTTCAAATTATGTATGCCTTTTGTTGGTCTTGCCCTAGTGCGACGTTTGCGTCCCAGCATGGCGGTTTTGTACCACGTGAATGGCAAGCTACAAAGGGCCTATTTGAAACCACTAAGATGCTTCATTGTTTGTTTTGTAGGATGAACCCACCACTGGTATGGATCCAGTTGCCCGACGCTTTCTCTGGGATACATTGACAGGTGTCTTGAAGGACGGACGCTCCATCGTGCTGACGTCACACAGGTACACGCATCAGGGACCTTAAGATCCGACGACGGCGAGGGCAACGAGAACGTTAAAAGAGCAATAGGTTAAGATTTGTTTCAGACGCCAACCTCCTCTTCCTATTTGTTCAAAACATTAACTTCAAAGCAATAGACTGAAATATCCTCGCTATTTTAGCGGTTTTCGCCTGGCATGGCCAAGAGCGCTTGTTTGCAGGCTAAGAATGGAATAATTACGTACCAGTGAGGCTGAGGCTTTAGAGAATTTTTGTTTTGTTTTGTTAGTTTATTTTTTGTTATGCAGAGACTCAAATTTGTAGCCGATGATCTTAGCGGTTAAAATGTTTACGTGGCTTTCTCTTTCAGCATGGAAGAGTGCGAGGCTCTTTGTACAAGACTGGCGATTATGGTGAACGGACACTTCAAATGTCTTGGCTCCACTCAGCATCTTAAGAGCAGGTAAGGCAAGCTTGGGGCTTGAAAAATTCGTGAACTCCAGCACTTCCTTTTGGGCAAGCAGCTCTCACATTTTTTCCTGCCCGGGGCAACTACGTGCTTAGAGGATAACTTTCCTGGACACTTGTCCATCGGGCAAGTGAGCTTTAAAATTTACTTGTCCAGGAAGAAAATCTACTTGTATTGTATTGTATTGTATTGTATTGTATTTTTACTCCATCCTATATAGATAATACATCAGTTGTACAATATGAATTAGTACTGTTTTTTCCTGCCCGGGGCAACTACATGCTTAGAGGATAACTTTCCTGGACACTTGTCCATCGGGCAAGTGAGCTTTAAAATTTACTTGTCCAGGAAGAAAATCTACTTGTATTGTATTGTATTGTATTGTATTTTTACTCCATCCTATATAGATAATACATCAGTTGTACAATATGAATTAGTACAAGGCTGTTTAAACTATGTGTACATAATAGCAAGAAAAAAATTTAGAATGGAGAAGGGCACATAATAGTAAAACTAATTTTGACCCTTTAAGAAGATTGACTTTATGCCGTTATAGCTTTGTTGTTCTTAAAACACAAACACGCACGCACGCGCGCACACCCACACGCACACAAGTCAATATTGAGCAAGATAATATTTTTTAAGTGCCTTTTTGAACAGGATTTTCGATGATTTATTGCGAATAGAAAGGGGGAGATTGTTCCAATAGTATTTTCCAATGACGGTAGTGCAAAACGTCTTGCTTCTTTCCTTTCTTTGACATATTCAAATAAAAGACACTAACAGGAACTCTTACACGAAAAACTAAATTATTTAAACACACAAATAAGGCAACAAATAACACTAAACTAGCCAGCTTCAAAAGACGCGGCCATCATCATCGCTGACCGCTGACTGCTGTATCCCGGATCACCGGAAGAGACTTCTTTTTCGAGCCCTGCAAGCTCTGTACTGAGCCATTCCTTTCCTGAGTACCGTTACCTCGATGCACCATGGTAGAATGTTCTTACTACTGATCGACAGAGCAAATGAGTTTAATTCGGTATGTTGCAGTTTAAACACGTCCCAAACCCTTACGATATTTTCGTGTCATGTTCAGTGAGCGTGAATAGAATGCCTTCGTCATTATACAAAGCTTTGTAACTACATTGTAAGGAATCTTTGGTATAAAATAAGCCTGTAGATGGGGAGCTTTTGATGTCTTAGTTTATTCTTTCTCTCTTGTTCTTAATTTCCCATCGAGTTCAAACTCAGATCGGCCGTTGCTCTTCTTGCTAAAATCATCCGTTATTTTATTCACCAGATTTGGAAGAGGGTATACATTGATGGTTAAGGTCGGTAGCCACCAACCTACGGTGTCGCTCACAGGAATAGCTGACCCTGAAGGTAAAGTAAAAATTATACCTTTTTGGGAAACTGCCCACCTACCCCTCCCCTTAGCCAACATTAACACTTACTTCTCACTTAGGGCAAAAGGTTGGCTAAGGGAAGGGGTAGGTGGGCAGTTTTCCAGAAAAGTATAATGATCCCAGTAAATGAATTGGTTGATAATGTTAACGGATTCAACGAATTGAAAACTTCCTCAGTATAGTATCAGTGTGTAGAAACTTGTGATTTCCCAAAGTATTTTGCCCACACGTTTCCCGCTAGGGTCGCCTTAAATCGTAGGTTAATACATTGAACTTCAAAATTAACTGTGGAAACACGTAGTGTAGGTAATTCAGTGGTAACTATTAACGGAGCAAATGAATGGAAATCAAAGGCGCAGCCTTGATCGTTAAGAACGTATGAGAAAGATTCCAAAATAACTTGCGCTAGAATTTCTAACATAGAGTCAGCGCGTGGAATTCTGTGTTTTAGAATTTTCTAAAAAAAAATAGTGTTGTTTTAAAATCTAATTTTAGGCGCTGTTGGGAGAAGAAGGGTGAATATATCCTCTACATGTCACAATATTTGCGACAAACAATTGTTATCTCCCCATTTTGTTGGGAAATTTAGTGTAGGTTTTTTTTGTCCTACAGCATGCACTTGCTCCTCTTTTTTCACGTCAGGTTCTTTTAAAAATGTCTTCGGTTTCTTACTTCTAGTAAATCGTGTTGAAGTTGTACCCGCCTTTCAAAGTCCCCATGCTGTTCCTTCAGGCCAGCCCCAGGTCTTTGCCAATCCAACGGCTCAACTGGACAACCCTGATTCCGCCGCGGCAATAGATGCTGTTAACAGAGTCATGCAGTTTGTTACCAGTGCCTTTGGCGGAGCAACTCTTATGGACAGTCACAGTGTAAGTCGCGCAAGTCCCAGTCTCCTTCGAAGCCTTCTTTGTGTCCCTGGAGAAGTGTTGCGTGACGACACGGCTGTGTTGGAGACTACTCAAGTCCTGACTGAGCTCAATTTTATTCTTAGGAAGCCAAACCTGTATTAAGCGGACGCTCTTGGGGAATAACCAGCAGCCCGCTTAATACGGTTCTCAGTGCCGAGAAATACAGCTCTAAGTAAAATAGGCAATGGCGTCATTTCGTTGCTATATCAACTCCGATTTCATAGCAACCCTGATCATAACAAATTTTCATCTTCATCTGATACAGCCGTGGTGGTAATTTTTCAAATCTTTGTTAATGAGGACGTAGTTTATGCTCAAACTTGGGAGGTATTGACTCTGAAAAACCCCATCGAGCCACCTTAATAGGGGTGGCCGCTTAATACAAGTTTGACCGTTAAATCAATACTATACTGAATCAAGCAACTGCAAAAATCAGGAAGTTCATGTTCTTCAGTCAAATTTTCATTACATGAAGTTCTACGTCTTAGAGTTGTGATGGTTTGCGCTTTGTTTCTTTTAGGGAATCTTGCATTACCAGATAGTTAATGAAGCTCTGAGCTGGTCGTACATCTTTGGTCAGCTTGAAAGAAACAGAAATACGTTGAACATTGTGGATTACAGCATCAGCCAGACTACACTAGAACAGGTAAAGTTGCTAAGCTCATTTTTGAGGAGCAAGAGTGGCACACTGGTGAGAGCACTTGCCTTCCACGTGCAATGTGGCCCGGGGTTTCCGGGTACTCCAGTTTTCCCTCTCCTCAAAAACCAAAACTACCAACTTCCATTTCGATCAGTTATGGTAGACGAAGAACCACTATGTGAATGTGCAACCTTTGTATCATTGTGTATCTTTTTATGTATTTGCCAGTCTTCTCAATTTTCCAAATCTCAATCTTGACTTTAATGCGTGTTTATTTACTTTTTTAAACTGAGAAAACGCCTGAGTTTTTTAACTCCAGGATTGCCTGGGTAAATAACGCGCGTACAATGGCCATCTATGGCGACGCTGCGTCAATTACCTAAATAAATAAGGTAATAATTGCGGGCGACAGGTTGCTACGCATGCATGGCACGTCTGTAGCCAGCATTCGTTTTATCAGGTGACACGTTCGCAAAGCACTAGCTTTGGAGCAAGGGCGTTTTGACCTTCGATCAAACTCGCCCGCTCTCTCTAGCCTTTGGTTATTACCAGTCATAAAGATTATAAAATACCGGGTCTGAGAGTTGGCACTGGTGAACATCGTTTTTGAGCATATTAGAGGCCCGGTCAGCGTCACATTTGTGGGATGTGACCTTATTATTTCTCGGCTTTTCTTGGTAGGTTTTCATCAACTTTGCCAAAGAGCAGCACTCAGAAGACCGCACTTCAGTCAAGCGAAAGTGCATGTGTTTTCCTTGCTGTCGGTAAATGGGTAATCAATGCTTGCTTGCTGAAGTCCCCGAGTACCAAACAATAAAAGTTCCAAACTAGAAGCAATTTTAAGTAACCAAAAAATAGATGATAAATAGTGTTGGTGCTTTGAAGGTAAAAAGAAAAAGTAACGCAACGAAGGAAACCAGTGGTACATATAGAATGCAGGATACTCATGTCTGGAAAGAGTCCCAACTCTTAAAATTTGTCCCGACTGCCTGCGCTACTGTGGTTTTGTCCTTTTAATGTTTTTGTGAATATACTTTAGCTTAAACCCTTTTCTGTGGGTACGTCATAAACAAGTGGTAATAGTGAAGACTATTGCCGTAGGCTCTTTTGTATAATGCTGAATATAATGATAGTATTTATGATGATGGTGATGGTGATTTAAGATATACTTAAACTATATATATACTTAAAGCTAAAAAACGCTTCACAATAACTGTTTCTTGAAACTGAAAATAGATTAATGGTTTTTTATAACTTCAACTTGCAATCTCTCCCCTGAATTACACATAAAGTGATTACAGAATAAGTGTATAATTAATATATAGAATATGTAAGATGTAATATATCAAACATGAGATGCAGTGTTTCATCACCAGATGAAACACCGAGAAGAGAGTTGAAAATACGACGCGCAGCGGAGTATTTTTGACGAACTTCGAGGTTTTCATCTGGTGATGAAACACTGTGTCGAATGTTTGATATTTCTTCTCAAACAAAATCATTTTTGAAGGAGAAATTAAGGATGCAAATACTAAGCAGTGTTTCATCCGATTTCCAAACACTCATTAAACATTAATTTTCTTTGTATTTTCTTAATGAATTATTAATGAGTTTGAGAACGTCAGGTCATAACGAATGTGTTGATAAAACGACTTCAACAATAGTTCTGTGAATTCTTCATGGCCGCCCTTACGTCGGTTGCAGCCTAATACATCATGAGTTCTGAAATCTGTCTTTCGCCGGTGCGTTGAACTTGTGCGTGGACCTTAAATTGTAGAGGCGCTTCGAAAAGTTAAAATATATTTAAGCAATAGACCACTCTTTTTATGGGTTTACCGGCGTGATAACCCACGCGCGATGTTGGGAGTACACGAGAAAAACTTGTAAATCACTCGCCTTCGGCTTGTGATTTTCACGCTTTTCGAGTGTTCTCCCAACATCCCAAGAAAGTGTGGTCTATCGCTTTTATAAAATAACTTTAAGTTTTCTATGAGGCATAGGTTTTCAAACAATCAGAACGCACGTACCAGCTTAGTTATTTTATAAATATATAAACCAAATAAACAAAGATTCATTGTTAAGAATACAATCAAATCATGTTTCTTTGGATGATACTATCATCCACGTTGATCCTTAAGTCTAGAATAAGACTGGTATTGTCGTATCCTGAGGCGGGATTTTTTTTATTGATTTTGAGGTTATACAAAATTATCTTATATAAATATAAGAAAGGATATACTCAACTACAAATACTAAAGATATAAATTAAAATAAATATACATATAAAAGATAAAAGCTGAACGTAATGGAATAAAAATATATATATTCTTGTTTGTTTTTAAGTTATTATTTTGTAATTTTAAATTGTAATCTTAGTACGCAATCTAAATGAAACTTATTTACGTTTATAGAAAGTTTGGAATAAATGATTTTTTAGTTAACTTACGCGTTGTGAAGGATTTTATATTTATATATATATATTTTTTTGGGGGGGGGAGGGGTGTGGAGGGGGATAAAAAAAACTAACCCTCTCGTCACACAGTCTGTGAGAATACTCTGTGTATTTAATAACAAATAGATTTGTTATCAAAGTTGCCTCCACTCGGTAAGAGCAGCCTCTTCATACGATAAGTCGGTCCTTTCCAAGTAAATTAACAAAATATGTTAAAGAACAAGTAACCTTTATAACTTCACTTTTAATTGCTTAAGACGAATAGACAATAGGGCCATTTATACGAGGAAAAATAAGACGCGTCTTACATAAGACGCGAACTGTACCATTTATACGAGCATCTCTTATCTAATAAGACGCGTCTTAACTAAGCCGCGTCTTATTTTAGACGAAATGTGCCGTTTATACAGAAAGTTCGCGTCTTATTTTTCCTCGTATAAATGGCCCTAATATGTCTGTTACTATAACTGTTGTTGTTGCTTCTGGCTTTTCTGACATCCTTTCACACACAGGAATTTTATGTAAATACACTTATGAGACAATGAAGACTAAAATGGCTAGAATCACAATTTCCAACAAATTATAATTCTTATACACGATCATACAATGATGGCCTCCAATGTACAACTTGTTCCCTGTAAAATGGGAACGTTTCCAATTCCAAATCTCTAAGCTTTTTTTGTATCGTTCGTGTTGCTATTGCATTAACCACTGCCACCTACAGTCCTCGATAAAACGGACAGCAGCTAAATCCCCGGCAAACACAAATTACAGACGTTTGACTGAGATAAACTCCCGCTATTACGGACTCTCGCTAGAAAGGACACTAACTCGAGGTCCCTACTGTGTCCGTAATAAAGAGAGTAGACTGTAACTGGGAACGACAGAACATTGCTTTAGCTTCTTCTCCTTATCTACTGGTGGGGAAACGAATGGAAACAATCACAGGGAGAATTAAGGACGTCTTTGCTCACGTTAAGCGATTGCAATTATTAACGCCTTATTTATCGGTGGTGGCAGCGTGGCCGAGCGGTTAGAGCGCTGAACTTGCAATTCGGAGGCCCTGTGTTCAAGTCTCGCCCTGACCGCTAGCTGGATTTGTTCACCGTCGGTAGTCCCGAGTTCAACTTCTCGGCCATGCTTGTAAATTAGCCTACTGGTTTGCATCCGTCCAGTTGGGATTCTTAGCCATGTTAGGTTCCGTTTGAATTATTTGTTCATTATCCCTGAAAAGCCCAAAAGGGGAGAAAGAAAAATCATTTATATTTCTCCATAATTCTCTTCCAGTTCAAATTGCTACCGATCGATTCGCGCCGCAGGCTTTTATGACTATAATGCTCTTGTGACTGTTTTTGCGAAACTGTTATCTGACCTTTTTTGTCAGTAATTAAAGAAATGAAAACTTAAGGCACAAGGAAAATTTCCGAAAGAAATGGCCATCCGTAGAGCGTAGATTAACTATTTGATCAAAACTGCTTTAATTATAAACTTTTGGAAAATAGCATGAATGAGCCATTGAAAAAACAAACAAACAAAAGCTAAACAAAACAGGATCAAGAGTTGTGCTATTTTAAGCTTTTTATCTTAGTATAAATCTTGTGATTGTTACAGTGTGGATGACTAAAATATTCGAGAATCCCCCCTCCCCCCCGCTCCCCGAGGGTGCGAAGCTGCGTGTCTAATTATTCCAGATTCTTCAGTATAATTGTTTCATCAATTCACGCAGCTCCTCAACTTTAGTAATCAGTTCTGATACGGTCGGGCGAAATGGAGGAAACTCACCAGACTGTACTTTGTTTACGATTTCTAAAGAATTCAAAGTGAGACAAAGGTTAC